GATTATGGGGATGTGAAAGTCGAGAATTAGTCAGAAGAATATACAATGTAAATCTAACCCATGTTGCTGATATCATACTTTGCAAGCAGTACCTTAGTGTTCATGGCGTCTCTTACAGACTGAGGAATCTCTTCATTTTCTGAGCTAGATGAATGTTGTGGAGACTCTGGTTCATCTGAATGAAGAATTGATAATCAACTACTATATAAATTGAACTACTTATTATGTAGTCAGTCAGTCATTCATTGAGTTAGTCGGTCGGCCTTTAAGTCAATCAGTGAGTCAGTGAATTGGTCAGTATGTCATTGAGAAAGTAAGTCAGTAAATCAAACAAAGCAATTTCAGCTACTTAACATTAAAAAAAATTAAATTAAAATACAAATAAAAAAAGACATGAAATAAATAATAATAAGTGAATGAACCAGTCATTACCCTGGTCGTCATCTCCTCCACTTTGTTCTGGACTGTCTTCTGGTTTATTTGACGATGACGAAGAAGATGCTCTGTATCTGAATACAACTCCGAGGGAGGTACAGTGAGGCTGAGCCTGTAACAGAATGCAGCAGACAGTTATCGTACAAAAATACATTTTGATCAAACCATTTTCATGTGCTGTGGAAAATATATGTTGCAGATGCGACATCTATCATAATCAATTACATGTGGTAAGTGTAGCCATACGGAGTTATACTTTTGCTTTATATGCAAGCTCACCACCACCCATTCACACCCCTTCGACCCTTTGGGTGTTGTTCCTCACCACCTCACCTATTCACACCCCTCACATCCAAATAACATCCAATTTATCTATAGCATCTTAATGGAGGAAAATTAGTTGTAAAAATCTGTAACAATCCACAGAGTCACCTATAGACACATGATGTATACAGTCCTTTGAAAAACCTTTGCTGCTGACCAGCTTCACAGGACTCCAACCAGTGCAACAATCCAAAACATTTTTTAAAAATTTTTGCATTTTTTTGAGTGCAAAATTTCAGAATAGAATCACTAGTTATTTATAAAAAAATAAAAATCATAGGATAAAAGCTGCAAATTCGGCATTAAAAAAAACGTCTATGTTCCGTACGATCCAGCCAGCCGAAGTCCAGTCCATTCCATCTATGTACGGTTCCGGATTTTCCAAAATTAAAAAACACTCAAAATTTGTGCATATAGAAGAGGAAAACAAGTTTAGAAGTTGGGCATGTTTTTGCTATACATTAAGATTATCCATGGCCTTTCAAAAGGTGAAAATTCAAAACTTTTTTTTTTGTGATTCAAGTTCCAGTCACTGACTGAGGCCCACTGACATCGTCAGACAGTCGAGTGGCATTCAAAGAAACCTAAGGATTTTTCAATAAGAAATTAGCTTGCCCTTCTAGCAATCCTGACTCTTAAACTTTCTTTCGCCCTATTGAGAAGGTAGGGATTTTTCTTGAATAGACAGGCTCTTTATTTTGGGTGTATTTTTCTCCATTTCAGGCTACATGTAATTTCCTTAAGAATAAGATTCTTTATTTGAGTTGTATCCATCATATTCATGTGTCTGGACTTCTCATGTACAACCGCTAAACAAAGAAATGATACTATAGAGATCAATGACATGTGGTCTGAAGTGGGAAAAGATTACGCCCATAGTAAAAGGGTCTGATAACATTTGGCTCCTTCTGCAGATAATGGTCACAGTCTCTGTAACTCAATAGAAAAAAACAAAAGACCCCAAGTTATACAATAGTACATGCAGAAAGACCCTAGTATCTGGAACTAGGATGTTTTTTGTTAAAAATCTGAGCTATGCATGAGGTTGTACAGGTATATTGTATGTTGTAGTACTTACTATTCTCCTCATGCTTGGGATGCTGTCTATGCCAAGACATAATTGCTGAGACAGGTGTGCAGCATGTAATATCATCTCCCTCATCTTATCCAACCCTATATACAATGGCATTTATAGATATATCACTGATTATAGTCAAGTATAAAAAAGGCTCATAGTATGGAAAAATCATACACTAGTCACCCCCATCATGTTAGTACTATTAAAGACAATATTTTTCCAACATTAGCCCTCTTCAAAGTCAGGGCACAGCTAACTCAATAACATCATATAGGAATGTTAGGTTTGTGAAGGGAGGAAAAACCAGATCTGAAGAAAAGTCTCAAATCAAGAGAGGCCTAACAAACTCTGCTAAGGTGAGAAGTGATTAGCACTACACTAGCCTTGATTCCCTTCTTTAAAACAGAACTAACAAAGGTGGCTGCTGTTTGTCTTTGTCTTTTGACAATAAATTCAATAGCAAAAGCCATTTTATTATGACTTACCGATATTCTTTATGCTTGTCCAGAGAGGAAGTATTGACAGTCTTTCTGGTGACGAAGATCTGGTCAGTCCAGCAGATTCAGCCTAAAAATTAAAAATTAAAAATAGTTGAATGATAATTGAATGGACAAATTGTACCAAAAATTCAAAAAAATGAAAACAAGTTGGAATGAGAATGGTAGTAAAGGGGAAAAAATATGAAGAAAGTTAAAAAATATTTAAAGCCAACATAATTTTCCAATTTTTTTGGGAAAAACTGGTATTTTGGATGGGAAAATGCAATAGATACTTACCATGATAGGATCTCTAGCTCTAAAAAATGTCTGTTTGGGTAAAATTAAGGGCAAAAATGATGACATAAAATCTGTTCTATAGTTCTATAATTTCCGAGGGTTGTGGGCTACAAAGCTAGGTTAGAGTCATATATAGTGTAGGAGAGAGACTTTCTTGATGTCCCTTAACCCTCCTCTGCCCTCATTCATAATTAATATTTTTTATTATTCTAATATTAATAATATATAAAGTAATTAATAGGATACACAAAGAGGTACTCCAGGAAGACCAAACCAATGAGCTATGTTGAGGGTCATGCTGTCGCACGACGAGGCACTCTAAAACAAACCACAAATATATTAACGATATAATATTTTTTGATTTTATTTGTTAGAGCAGCTTGATTATTCTGGAAGCTTTCACTTACATGGGCCTGCTTTTACTCACGCTGACTACCACTACATTTACTATTTTATGCAAGGCTTGACTCACATGTTGATTTTTACGGAGGGAGGAAAACCGGAGAACCCGGAGAAAAATCCTCGTGGCACAGGAGAGAACAACACACTAAACAAACTCAATTCACATGTGGTGACTGCAGGGCTTGAACCAGCGACCCGACCCGTGGGACTTACAGTGGTGAAAGGGGACGCATTAGCAGCATACACCACCCATAACACTCTAACGCTGTTGAGGATAGTCTTTTTTCTGACATTTCAAAATATGCACATTGAAAATAATATTACCTTCAGAGATGGAGGTATTGACTTTAATGCCAGGGCTGAAAGATTGTCACTACAATTAACAAAAAAAAACATACGATAAATAAACACTTAATATGAATAAGAGATGGCTTTTCAACTGAAAAAAAATCCTGGAAATTTAGGTGGTATCTTGACTCAATCTGCCCTGCGTATAACTTGCTGGCTATGATTGGGGTACATGGTGAACCTGCAGTATTTACCCTTCAATATGAAGCCACAGTCCATTCTGGGTGCACAGTTCTCTCAGTCTTCCTAGGTTATCTGTGTGTCCTACCAATGGGGTACCTGACAGCAAAGTAAATCATTTGTGAACTGAAAATATGTTGTATGGAAATAGTTGGTAAAGAATTTCTTAGCAATAAAAGATGTGTTTTTAATAAAGATTTTGGTAAGTAAGCAAAGATATTTTCATGAAATCTGATAGTTTACTGGTTTGACTTGATAAGTCATTACGCTTTTGTTGTCATACATCAACTCCTTTGCATCTAAAATTTTTGATTCATGCTCAATGTTACTCTTACTTTACTCAACAGCAGTCGCTTTGTTTTATTTTATTTTATTTTTTGATACATTTACTGTGTCACACTTGTTTAAGATAGGTTTCACGACTTTTCTTATACGAACTTCAGTAGATGAAAAGATGCGTAGACGAACTTCAGTAGGGGAAACGATGTGTAGGCGAAACAATCATAAACCAAATAGTTTGAGAAGGTAGGCTTGAGCAAATAGAGGTTCTGCATTGTCACGTGCCAGCAGCAATGTTAGATGGCTAGACAAAAGAATTGCTTTAAGGAAGTGATTTTGATTTCTTGTGCAAAAAACATTATTGTAAGTTCCTGTCAAACGACATGGCTGGGTAATTGTGACAATCATAAATTTTATGAACTGAATGGCTGACCTGCATAAGCGACCAATAGTAAAGGTGTTTTCCCACAGGCAACATCATCATTGAACAATCTTTCAAATGCTGCAATATCCTGAGAGAATACAAGTATGGGAATGTGTAATAAGCATAAATTACATGGGAATATTCGACATGAAAATTCGTATGGTTTTCATGGATATGATAATGTCTTGGTGTTTCAGCTTCACCAGCGGCTAACTTCATCAGAATAAATGGGGTGATTAAAAATGGGAATTCATGGGAATTATTCTTTAAATTAATCTTAAATAAGTCTTACCAGAGTATGAGGTGATCCAAATACAGTGTTGCAAGGAACTAAAATATAAATAAATATATTTTTTATCAATCTTATGATGTTGATGAAATAGATGATGATGATGATGATGAAGGTGATGATGGTGACAGCAATAAATGCTGACGCACTATGCCAATTTGCTTTAGGTATAAAGAAGATTATATAACAAGATAAAACAAACAAAAATGAAAGAATAAGTAATATGAATAAGGTGTTTGTTTCTTGAAATAAAATTGAAGACTAGTATACTCGGCTTTCACTCTTAAAAATGATGCCGGAGGGAGTCGAAATGTTGAGTATGCTAGTCTTCAATTTTATTTAAAAAATAAGTAATATACCTTTACAAATACTTGACTGTGGTAAGCCAAGCTGTTGGAATAACAAAATTAACGTACACACGATGTTAACAAGAAACACAAGTATAACATGTGATCGGATGTGATGGCATAGGATGCAATGGATGAGATAAGAGGAGATGGAAATGGCTAGGATGGGATTGAATGGGATGGAACTGGAAACAATGACACACAGTATAAAAAGGGTTATGGAATTTATTAGGATAGCATAGGATAAGATGAGATATGATGAATAGAATGGCATTGAACAGGATAAGAGGAGATGAGAAAAAATAGAACAGAATGGCATGAAACGAGATGGGATGAGATGAGATGACATAAGATAGAAAGAGATATGAGGGGCAGAGACAGAATAAGAGGGAATGACATGGAATAGAATGGGATAAAATGAAATAATATAGAATGGGATGGGAAAAGATAAGATGTTAATGGATGTTGATAAAAATTAATCAATGAAAATGAGTTTTACCTGGCTACACAAGTACTGTCCTAATCCAGGCGCACATGCATTACTGACATAAATCACAGGTGGTCTATGGTAAAACAATACATATTATGTCAAAAACGTATTTCCATTCAGTATCACTAACTTCTTAATATGTAGATATCGATGAAATACCAGGTTTTCTCTAGTGTCGAAAACTTGATATCTTTCACCAGTGGAAGATACCATATCTTTCACACGTGAAGATATTGCTGTTGAATAGGCTTGCTATTTTAATAAAGAGTTTTTGAGCTTTTGTTTTATTTAAGTTTTATCGATATCTATATAATAAACAGAACTCACTCGTGAGATATCAATTGAACACTCGAAGATAAAATTTGTATCTCCGCGCACCCATGGAATATCCTCTATTATTATATTACCGTGAATCTTAGAGCCTGGACACTAGCAAATCGAGCAATCTGATTGGATAGATCGTATCACGGACTGGTCTAGATTCTCCGGTATTAACCTGTCCCATCGCATATTAATCTTACGGTGAAAACATTTAGTCCTTTTCAATGAAAAATGGCCATATAATAAAACTCTTATCAACTGAGCTTGGTCGGTCTGTACAGGATAATCCTGACCTCGGTCGGGTACAGAACTCACTGAGCTCAGTCTGTACATTCCAACCTTGGTCAAGATTATCCCGTACAGACCTCCCGCTCGGTTAATAAGATCTAATTAAATAATTTCCAGTTGGATTCAGAAAAGAAAAGCACCTCTAAATGACATTATTATATCACCATTACTAAAACTATTATCATACTTTATTAATTTCCATACTTTACCTGGTGTATAATGATGTAAATCCCTCTGTCCCATATTTTGGATATTTAGCCAGAAGAGCTAGTCTACAAACTAAATGGGGAAAAAACTCATCAGGAAATGCATAATGTATTGTCAGGGTTTTCATTTCGTTTTGAAATAATAGAAGATAATACGCCGCTCTCATAATGGCTGACAAGTGCACGATAACGAGGTCACCCAGTCATTATTTCACAATAAAAGATATAAAATTACATGAAATGACTTTAAAGAAGAAAAGTATAAAAAAAGACCTTTGTTTTGATCTGAATTAGCACTAACAGCCTTTATTTTGAATGAGCAGCTTGGCTCAACCTTGCAAGATGACTGGGTGACCTCTTTTTTTCGTGTGTTCATTAGCCATTATGAGAAGGGTGTATGAGCTGCTGGAGAGTTCTGTGAAACATGTTTAAATTAATTGGGTGTATAGAGAAATACATCCAACTATGTACGAGTGCACTTACTTACCCCTTTCAAGTCCCTCCCATTGATGACCATGGAAACAGGCTGAAGCATTCTCAAAACTACATCAGAAAAATATATAGAAACAAAGGTATAGTTATTGCCATTATCATCACCACCATCATCAACACTATCATCCTCATCATCACTATCATCATCATCACCTTCACCATCATCATCACCATCATCATCACTATCATCATCATCACCATCACCGTCATCATCACCATCATCATCATCATCATCATTATCATCATCACCATCACCATCATCATCACCATCATCATTATTATCATCATTATCATCATCATCATTACCATCACCATCACCACCACCATTATTGTCGTCATCATCCTTACCATCATCATCATTATCATCACCATCACCACAATCATCATTATCATCATCGTCATCATTATCATCACCATCACCACCATTATCATTATCATCATCATTACCATCATCATCTTTATCATCACCATCACCACCATTATCATTATCATCATCATCATCATTACCATCATCACCACCATTATCACCATTTCCAACATAATGCTCATCATAACCACCATCATCTTCTTACCTAAACAGTTTTGAGAGCCAGTGTGTACAATCAGATTTCATAAAAGCAGTCAGTTTCTTAATTCTTTGTTGGTCCAGTAAAGAAAGATAAGAGGCCAATTCTTGTGCTGATACGCTAGCATGGGTGAACTGATCTAGACTGTATGAATATCTGATGACAGAAATAAGATCATGAGATATCAGAGTAACTTAATTCGTTGTTAAAGGAAATATTTTCCATGGTCACTACTAATACTACCATCCAGGAATGATAAATTTGTTTTCCTTAAACCCCTTATCCCTCAGAATTTTATAAAAAGTTTTAGAATTATGGTATATGATCTACAGACATGTCTCACCCTTTGTGTTATTGCATGTCATTCCCTTGATTTTTAAAATTTCCTGGTTTCTATCTAAATAATGTGCAGGTCCCAAACGAGCCTCAAATAATACCGATATATCTATAACTGATATTTAAAGGGATAGAACACTAACTTTTAAATAGTTGAAATGCTAAACTTACATTCTGGCTGGTTTTTCATGGTTAACGAGATTGACAATCCCTCTAAGTATACTTCTAATATCAGCATATCTGCATGAAAATAACAAAGAAGATAATCAGAAGCATGTATTTGGAGTATCTAGAGGGTATATTGCTAAGTACCAGGAAATATCCATACTTCCCAATGGAGAGGGATTGAAATTTCCAATGGGAGGGGAGGGTCTGAGAAGGATATGTAATGCAGTTTCAGAAAATATCCTTACCTCCCCCATGGTTTAGGATTGGAAATTTGAAGGGGTGGGAAGGGTCTGAGGAGGGTATATAGCATAATAGAAAATATCCATACTCCAATTTACAAGGGATTGGAGTTTCCAAAGGACAAAGAGGGTCTTTCAAGGATATTTGATATTTTTGTCACCTCGTTTTTATAACTGATTTTATCCAAGCGACAAAATAAAGTTGGGTATAAAAACAAAATATAATTTAAGTAAAAGCAAATAAATTCTACGTACTTCAGAGGTTGCTTAGCATTTGTGTCTTCATCAGAATTATGTTCTTCTGTCTCACTAAAAAAAGGAAATAATATATTTGCAGCTATATATATATAGGATATCTTATGATATGTTAATAAACTGAAAGCCAGGGATTATTTTAACTTTCCAAACTTAAATTTATATTATTAATGAATTTGATATTAAATTAATTTGATTCCTTGTGAGTTTTATCAGTCAATAATGCCCTTGCATTTAAAATATAAACCAAGAACTTTAAACTAGATATTAATGTATAAAGAAATACATGTAAGTAATACGTGTTTAATTGCTGGAATTTTCCTTCTAGATAATATTTAAATAATACAATTAAACGTGGACATATAATATATTTATTTATATGTATATCATGAATGTTTGTAAATAGTGACTGTACCTGGGAATCCCATCTTTTCCAAAAACAGACTTCACACAGGCTTGGACGTCTTCGTACATCATCTATTGAAAGATACAAAACAGTCAAATATCAATTCAAGTTTTAGAAAATTGAATAAATGGTGGAGTAAACCTGGAAATGGGAAGACAAGACCGACAAATCACATGGATAAATTTTGAAAAAAATACACGTTATTTGCAGATAAATATAAGAAAATTTGAAGGAGGATAGAAAATACAAACCTGGGTGGAGTTCGGTTCCGTTTCTTGGTGATTAGTTGTTGCGTTAGGTGGTTTTTCAGTCGTGTCTTGTGGAGGTGTTGGTGAATTTTGCTGTATTTCGTCCGCCATCTTGTCGTGACTGGCCACGCAGTCATAAGCTACGTCACTGGATACCATATATAGAAACACAGGAAGACCAACAGAATTTTTTTACTCTTTAGTAGTAGGAAGCGAGGGATGGGAAGGAAAAGTGGAAGGGAAAAAAGAAAAAAAGAAAAAATAGAAATGAAATAGGAGGAGAGATAAAAAAGGCAATGAAAGTAAAAAGAATTAAAACCAAAACAAGTAAAAGAGACAGGAGTAATAGACTGAAAAAGGAAAGAAAAGGAAAGGAAAGGAAAAAAACGGAAAATACGAAAAGTGAACCCTTTTTTCATTTCTATTCTGCTTTTAACTTCATTTTATTTTTCTTGTTCAAAAATAAGCCAGATTAACATTTCTCACTTAGCCTATCAACATGGGCCCTCAGTTGCTAAAGCAACACTTCCCATTGTCGATATATCTAGTCGTTTGTAGATCGATCAAATACGTCTTTCCAACTGTTTCGTAACATATGGTTTCGAAATCACGCTTATTTAGAATAAGGAAAGAATTAAAGTAAACACTGTGCATGCGAAATAAAGTCTTTTCCGAGTCAAATTCACCAACAAAATTTGGTTTCAAGCCAATATCTTTTGGTTATAACTCTGTTTCAACTCTGTTTTGTCTGGCTTTGTTTTTGAAACGTCGTCACTGGGAATTCGACTTCTAGTTTCCTTTGAAAATTGCTATCATTTTAAATCAAGTTTAATTTAAAATGTTTTAAATAAGTTAGTAATACGTGACTTGAACTATGAGTTGAAATGGTAATGGATAATATACTGAAATGATCTGCATTTAGTAGACTGTTTGTCAGGATGATGATGATGATAATGATACCGCGTATTACCACTACTTAGGTATTTATTCGGGAGAAAACTGAACACGCCGAAAGATCTTTTTTTGGCTTTTCTTTCTTGGAGCTTTGTCTATTTTTTACCGGGTTGACCATATTGTCTTTTTCTATTGTTTTTGTATTCTACTGATGAATAATTTATATGCTTAGATAACCATAACATTGATCAAACCCAAGCGGAGTTCAATTCTTCTGAATGGCGACTTCAAATTGACCCGGCACAAGTTCGCCAGTTTTAACTGTTAAAAAAAATCGTGTTAAACCAAAGATGGAATTGAGATTTCTCAAGGCGTTTATCCTTGTCTTCACAGCCTTTCTGTGTCATATTTTTGGACGCACGAATTCAGAAAGTATGAACATACTCTGTGTACAAATATACTCAGACATTTGTTTGTCAAACTCTCTAATGTTTTCTTTTTGTTCTTTTAAGTTGTTAAGTGCCACAAGAATGAAACTTGTGGCTATAATTCGCAGTGCATCAGCAAGGAGTGTCTTTGTAACGAAGGATTCATAAGTTTAGTCAAACCAGTTGGAGTGAAAGGCAAGGACTGTGTCGACAGTAAGTACTCAAATGTGCCTGATATTCGCTTAAATTCCTGTTAAACCATGCACCGCTTTTGAGTGACTTATTCTTTATTCAATCTTTGGTTTGACTGAAATTTAATGTAAGAAAAACTCAAAGCATTTAATTAAAATGTTTTTCTACTGAAATTTTCACTAATATATAAATATTGATTTTGGCTATACCAGTCAAGCCGGCAGTCAAGTTTCTAGACGACTAACGGGATTGACTATTGCTTTTGCACTCCAGTTTTGTCACGCTTACTGGCTCTGACACTTGATCAATATTTCTTTCGTATGCCATGTACTTAAAATCGTTCCCTTTGCAATAATTTCGAACCTGGAGGTCAAAAAAATTGAGTTGTTTCTCTCGAAAATCGATGATTTTCCGATGTAAGTGGTTTAGCATTTATACTGACCAGATGTGGTGCCATTAATGCGCGTATGTACGTCATATGTCTTGCTTTAAGCAATTGACATTCCAAAATCCAATTCAAATATATTTTCCCCATTTATTTTTAGGAAAGTGTGAAGATGGGAAATGTGTCACTTGTATAGATAAGACCAGATGCAAAAGGTTAGGGACTGGTAACTTGGGTGTATGTAGACTCTTCCACAGTCTCTCGCTCGTCCGTTCCGTCTCCACGCTTAGAGACTGTAACGGTACAACGACCGAAAGGACTTATGGGTCCCGAAAACTTGGACCCAGCGTGCTTTGGGAACCAAAATACTCGTCCACAGTCTCTCTCGTTTTCGCCGCAATCTTGAAAATATTAAAACGAGAGAGACTGTGGACGAGTATTTTGGTTCCCAAAGCACGCCGGCTCCAAGTTTTCGGGACCCATAAGTCCTTTCTGTCATTGTACCGTTACAGTCTCTAAGCGTGGAGACGGAACGGACGAGCGAGAGACTGTGGAAAAGTCTAGGGTGCATGTGACGTCATAGCCACCATCTTGATTGACTTGGCTTGGTTTCTGTTAGTTATGTCATCCAAAATTTGACCTTGTTTTTTACCTTTCTATTCTCATAGGAAGATATGGATCTCATCTTTTCTGGGGTAAAGGATGGATTGATGAGAATTGCCCCATGCATTTGTGAAACCGGAGATTTTAGAATACCCCTCTTTTGGGAATATTAGAGGAATCCTTCCAAGGGTTTTTCTCCGGGTTCCCGTTTTTTCACCTGCGTATGACGCACAGGCAGCTGGAGCTTCGCTGAGTAGAGAGCAGTGTATCCATAGAAGATTGAACCCCCTACATTCCCCCCCCCCCCCCCCCCCCCCCCCCCCCCCCCCCCCCAAGGCGCACCATTACACCACTCATGCAATCGTTATGTTTCTATAGATGCGTCCGTTACCTCATAGAAGGAACAGGGAAGTGTACGGACGAATGTAAAACAGAGGTTATTTTAAAGTTTACTGGAAATGAGCAGGGGGATGTTTGTAAAGGTAGGTTACAATTGTTATGCTCATTCCCAAGACTACATGCGTGGGGTAGGGACCGCGGAGACGCGGGAGATTTGAAATTTCGTGTTTGGGATTTCGCGTTTGAGATTTCGTGTTTGAGATTTCGTTCACAGCCCTCCCGAGCGTCTCAAAAAATTAAAATAACCTCTAGTATTATTAATGAAGTCAATTTCTAAATCTACAGCGGCCGAGGAGTCCAAGTGGACTAAGGCACAGACGATTGGACTTATCGTTGGATTGTCTCTCGCGGCTGTAGTGATCATCGTGGTTGTAATCGTAATCATCATAATAAAGAAAAGGAAAATGTACGCAGAGATGGTATAATAGCAATAATTATGCGCAGTTCGGCAAGTCTCTGTGAAAGTGAAAGATTAGATTATTCTAAAGGTGGGGTGATACGGGCATTAAAACAGTCCATCTTCTCACGTAACAATGTTGCGCTTGGCAAGTTGCAAAGAGGAGAGCTAGCTAGTTGCCCGTATAACCGCATCTTTATGCCCGCGATTTCTTTAGTTAAGGATACGATGTGCATCCCATGTGACACTTAAGGGTATTCTCGGTGTACTCTTATACAATGCATGGCCGCTATATGTTGTGTTTAGGTATGTAATTGATAATGTTTGATTTACAGTGATGAGGATACTGATAGACAAATTAAAGAAATACGCGCAAGAAAAAAGAAAGAAAGGCAAGAAAGAAGGAAGGCCAGAAATGCTGCAAAGAGTGCTAACGCCCAAGAGGTAGGTAGCGACTTGGTCTTACTGGTGCCACAAGTCAGTCTACGAACCGTTGCATTGTAGGCGCGCGCAGATCGACGTTGGTATTATTTCTCACTACTTTCGTATAAAAGTATGATTACTCGCAAGTGTGGATTTAGAACATGTTCGTCGAGTATACGCGTGTAACCCCTTTTTGCCCAGGATTTCTTCAAATATGTGGAAAATACGGTAAAAGTTATCTTAAATGGCCACCCTTGCGAATTGTCAAATGGCCTATAAATACAAGTTGGTGGCTTAATAATGGTATATTTCTGATACAAAAGGACCCTCCTTAAGACTTTGACAACTGGCTGCTAAACAGAGGTTGGTCACTTAAAAACTGGAAAAACTAGGGGGAATAAGAACTTTTGGACTCTGGGCTAAAAATCAAACTCAAAATCTAAGATCCGCCACTGAAAAAAAAAACCAAAACAAAACAAAACGAAAACGTGAAAAAATCCAACCAATATGTAGTTCACAATCAATTTGTCACATTATGACATGATTTCTTACAGGGAAAGCAAGGTTCTATTCCTGACTCCACTGGGAATGACTCTTCTGGTAACGTCCTAGGGGCAAAGGACTTTGAAGTTTGAACAAGGCTAACAGCGGATCCAGTTAGAAACGAAGGATCTTGTTTTCAAAGTAATGGCACATGGTTTGAAATGGGAAAACATTACGCCCATGATAAGAGTCGCCACAAGAACGAAAGAACGACTACTTTTTCTAGATTGGTCTTCTCTAGATTTCGTGCAATAATTTAAAATTTTGTATGAAAAACTTAGAGAGAAAGAAAACCTAAAGATCAAGGTGGAAAATTCGAAGCCGAAAAAGTATGAAAAAATTAAAACGTTTGTAAAAAATATATAAATAAGATGAAAAACAAATGAATAAAATACTGTAAAAAAATTTCTAAATGCATAACAAGAAGAGAGAGAAAGAAAACCTAAAGATCAAGGTGGAAAATTCAAAGCCGGAAAAGTAAAAAAAAATTAAAACGATTGTAAAAAATATAAATAAGATGAAAAACAAATGAATAAAATACTTTAGAAAACTCATTAATAATTCATGAAGAAAACACAATAGAAATCATGACCATGAAGGTGATTTTATATCTGATATAGATTCGTCTTCATTTGCATAAACTTTAACTTGGATTTTCTCTATCAAACTTGTTTCTTTCGTAAAAAAATCGGTACACAATGAGAACAAACATCATAAGTTTTCTAAGCCGTTCAATAATCTCGCAGATCGTGTTTTATCGGGTCTAAAACCACTCGGCTGCGCCTCGTGTTTTATACCCGATAAAACACTCCTGCTCGTTTATTAAACATTACGTAAAAAAAAAAATTCTAAATGCATAACAAAAGTAAGGAGTTGGGGTAAAACTTCATAATATAATGTTATAAAAAGTAAAATAAGTAGTAATGAAACGATATTCTCAATAATATTTGAAGGTGTTGTCCAGTTGGAGCAAGCAGTTGCAATACCTTTCCACAAGAGAACTAGTAGTGATTTTATTTGGTCAATGAAAAACTAGTAGACACTTTAAGAGACCTAATTCGTCTTGATGTAATGTTTATCTATTTCAGACCATGTGTCATTCCCTAGAGTATCATTTCTTTGTTTAACGGTTGTTCATGTCAAGACACATAAATATGGATACAATTCAAACAAAGAATCTTACTCGCTAGAAAAATGACACGTGGTCTGAAATGTGTAAACATTGTATTAAGATGAATTAGGTCTATTCCACTGTTATATTTTGACCGTTCATACGACTTTGCTCCATGGACTAAATAAAATTCCTCATGTCAGAGGTAACGCCAGCGTATTAATCAAATCAATACATTGTAATCTCACAGAGGTAATGAATAAAGTCTTTATTCTATATTGATTTTCTTGAGACTACCGTCATCAAATACCAATGAAGATTTTTTTGAATTCCATTGAGGGGTGCTTTCAGAATTCCTGTGACCACCCTGGATCTGCCCATGACACCTCTAGTAATAACAAAAGCTTCCCAATTAGATTCCCGAAATCATATTGTGTGGGAATTATGGGGGGAGGGGGGGGGAATGAACAACGTACAAGTGACTAAGACTAACAGAATGATAATATATCTTTTTATCTAGAAAGGTTTTACAATTTAACTTTTATATGTAATCTAAGTGAATTTTGATTTTCAGTACATATTTTTTTATAACTTTGTATTTTATTTTGTTTTAGTGTTATCTTATTTTTATTTTAAAAATATTGAATTTACCTCATTGAAACTCGAAGTCTTTCCAAAGGGAATACACCCAGATATAGGATACCTATATAAACCCTATGTAGAACAATGGCCCTTTACAGAGATATTTAGCAAAGTGTATTTTGATTTAGCATGGGTTCAAACATCTTTTGTTCACCATGCCTTGTTTGGTGTTGTTTGTACCCAAGCTAGGCCACAATGCATCATGTTTATTGAACTCGGAAAAGTCCCGTGGGTATGTATATGGGCACTGTATATGCTAAGACAAAGCTATTTGATGCTTCACCTTCAAAATAAACATACCTACCCCACCCCTCCCCTCCTAAAAACACCATCATCCACCCCCCCACCCCACCTACCTCTGAAGCACCTTTCCTACATGGAGTTATTCCCTATTGTCTTACAAGGTTGAAGGGTGCAGAGTTGAGATAGGGACAGAGGCGAGAGGAGAGTATGTTTTCCTATTTTACATTGTTTGAAGTTCCTAGATTCGATTAAATTTTACGATTGTCATTCTTAAAAATTTGGTTCAAAATTGTCAAGACTTGGGCTTCCTGTGTTAACAGCGCACTACAAAAATCATTCATGGGTTTCCTGTGTATCCAGCACAATTTAAGATTTAACACGTCATCCTTAATGAAACATTTTAAAATCCTATACAAACAAGCCACAGGGGGAGGGGTACCCTGGGGATAATTTGTTCAATCGTCTACTAATACTATGCAATGCAAACTTGAAAATATTTTGACAATGAGGCTGATGGGAAACAAAGATAAAATGGGAATTTGACAAAATTTTTATTATTTTCCAGTCAGCCTCATAATCAAAGTTTTTTTTTTTTAACGTGACCTGTGTAGTAGAAGTTGTAGGTTACAAAGGGGGTGACCCTGGTGGGGATGATGCTGTTTCTTTGGGCACAAGGCTTTCTACTGCTGGGTACGTCTCCGCCCATATCTGTGCAAGCTGAAAAAAGAAAAGAAGAAATAACTATGTAAGCAAAGTCTCTGTAATTCAACCTTAAAGTGAACCAAATTTCAAATTTTTATTTGAATCTCTTGTTAGATTCTTGGAGTCCAATTGAACACTTTGTTCACCAAGTTTAATCATATTGGCATATTTGCAAACTATGGACAAAAAGTTGAATGATATTGAACAAAATATATACTCCAGCTAGATCATCTGTCATTCGGTTCTCTCAAAACAGAGTTCAAAAATAATGAAATAATGCCCCTCATACCTCTTTGTGCCCAAGCGAATTTGAGGCCACCATCTTTTCCAAAGCAACAGCAATCATTTTTATATTGGCATGAACAAGTTGAGTTTCCAACTGCAAACAATGCAAGGAAAAGAAGTTCCTGTTTTCCATATTACTGATGTCAGCTTCTTGTTCCAAGATCTTGGACTCTAGAGCATCAACCAAATTTTCTTGCCCTTTTGCTTGAGATAAAATCTGTCGCTTCTTGATCTGTTGCATCTTGTGAAGGGCGTTCTGGTGATCCTTTAGAACACCTTTTTCATGTCTTTCACATAGGTCCTTTAAAGTCATAGCATAAGGGACAATTAATTTTTCACCAGGGAGGGGAGGGGGTGGCAGGATTTGGAGCCCATTAAAATAATCATGCTCAAGAGGGAGTCCATGGGAAAAATTTACACACCAAGGGCAGATCGAGGGGGGCAAAGGGGGCTGAAGCCCCTCCCCCTTCAGCAGAAAAAAACGATGCTTTTTTATATTGTTTTCCGTTGTGTCGATGCAAGAAACTCAATTAGCCCCCCCCTAAACTCACTTAGCCCCCCTCCCCCTAAAAGTTTGGCTGGATCCGCCCTCGCACACAGCACTTTTACGACAAACAGAATAGAAAACAAGGCAGGGTTAACTTTTTTATGCAACTAGTTACCAAGAATTCCACCAACCTCCCCTCCCTGATAAAAAATGTAAGGTCCCCTAGGAGGAAAGATAAAAAGTCTTTAATTGACTCACCTTATATGCCGATGTAACTTCAAGGAAAAGAGCAAATGTTTCAGCTGCACCACAGTCTTCTCGCTTAAACTGCAACCAAGAAATAAGCAACATAGACCTTTTAGAAGAGTGTGTGCATGATGCATTGTTGTCTAGCTTGGGTACAGTACATACCAACATCTTTTGTTCATCATGCCTAAATATGGCATGCTCAAGGGTGTAGCCAGGATTTTTTCCCCTGCCTATGTCCCTGACATTGTTAGTACCAAAGCTAGACCTATGTACTCTAATAATATTGACAGTAACCTGTCACAATGATTTGTTTGGATAAGTACGTAGCAATGCAAACATCGGCAAGCAAGTTAATCATCATACTCACCCATGCTGTTGCTTTATCTGATAATCGGCTGAAGTGTCCCATAAGACCATTAAAGCCATGCTTGAGGTGTCCCCATGAGTCATTATTGCCACAAGCCCATACTGTAGTTGGGTGTGAGTCTCCATTGAGGGCACTGTAATCGACAAGTAATAGAGTGCAAACAATATAACTGTGAAACTTTAGTAATAGTAAATAGCACAATTTCATGTAAATTCCATTGTTCTCTATTGTTTAATTAGTACTATTTTGTACTATTTAGTAATTAGTGTTTCACGGATTAATTGTTTGCACTCTAAAGTGATAAGTATAAAGTTTAACAGTAAACTAGTGGACTATTGCAAATCATGCCCTCTGATTGGCTACACTATAAGTGGTATGTTTCTCATAGTGCATAGTGGAGAAAAATGCAGAGTTCTTGAAATAATATGTTTTCAAGGAGTTTAAGGAGTACTGTGGATCCTGCTTGGTCTTGATTACCTACCCTAAGCATATCCTTACCTTAATTCCTTAGCAAATGCTAGCATGTCACTTGAAAAGCCTTTAAAAAAACAAAGAGGTAACAGACTTATCATCAAGGTCATCATTCATCATGACCATCATCATGACCATCATCATGACCATCATCATGACCATCATCTTAGGAAAGCTAGGTGGAGTGCACTGCTAAAGCACAGCCTCTCACCAATGCAACCCGGGTTCGAGTCCTGCGGGTCTCAGTGTCGTTTGTTGGTTCTCTCCTGTGCTTCTGGGGAATTTACTCCGGGTTCTCCAGTTTCTGACTTATCAATTTGGGTTGCAAAACCTGTTAGAAGTCATGCTGTATCTCTTAATCTTCAAATTTTAACAAAATTTGGAAAAAACCATCTGGACATAGCTAACCACAGATTGAATCAAAACTTTAGAGACAAACACTGGTAGTACCTGGAAAAGACCCTAAATCAGGGGAGACCTCTGCGAGACCCAACAAACTCTACTCACAGGTAATTACCAGTTCAGGAATCAAACCTGAGACCCTAGATATGATAGGAGAGTGAACTACTGCACTTGTAGTACTGTTTTCTCCCTAGGTGCTGGTCTGCTCAGGGATGTAATCATGACCTCTGACCTCTCACACAACAGACTAATGTTCAACTGAGCCAACTGGATGTTAGTACTCTACTAGCAAGATGTTCTTCAAACTTACCAAGAGTTCTCATAGTTATTCTGTCTGCTATTTCCTTCATTCTTTCAACTGAGTTGTGAATACAACGAATGTGTTCTTTGCTTGCACTGAAACTTGCTTGCACATCCATTGGAACCAGTTCCTTCAAAAATAAATGCATCTGTGCTTGTTGTATTCTTTAGCAAAATCTAAGGTCTGGTTTCTAAGAGGTTTTGCGCCAAACCAAGAAAACATTGCCAAAGGAATTTGACAAGCAGAAATCAAAAACTATTGCCTCACTGAGTAGTAGTTTTGGAGTGGCTTGGTGCCTCTCTGCCAAACCCAGTATTTGCCAAGGAGTTTAATACCTTAAGGTGACTATACATCTAAGTCCAAAATGGCGCACGGCTGAGTGTGTTACATGAAAACAAGGCATCCAGGGCAAAATGCAAAGAAATAATATGTTGTCAATGCAAAGCATACACTTGTTCACTTGTTCTGTCTTTATTTTCTTCTTACATTCAGGAACATGACAATTTTGCAGCATCAAATTATAAGAAAAAGCTGTAAATTTGTAAATTTGGCCCTGGATGCTTCGTTTTCAACCGGCCGTGCACCATTTTGGATTTAGGTGTATTGAACGTTTAATTTGAGCCCACTGTGTGTGCATGCACAAAAACTGCTCAAAACTGCTGAACAACCTTCAAAATGTTATTTAGGAACCACACGTGTTTTGAACTTCACAGGGCAAAACCTGTTGACCTCCCCTCAACCTTTGATTACCTTTATTCCTACTGACAATGGACTTGTAACAAACTCATCTGGGAAGGACTTGAATTGATCCTTCATCTTCTGACCAATATCCTACATGGATAGGAGAACAAACAATGGCACATTGTATCATGGTTTTTTTATGGTAGGAAGCAAGTAATAGAGGTTTTGCACCATCATGTGCCCATCCCATTATACTGCTTGGGCTTCCTATGGTTAGATGGCAGAACAATAAAATCCCTGTGCTCTAGGGAATTTAATTCTTTCTCATGTAAAACAACTGTATTGTTCCTGCCATCTAACATAGCTGCCGTCTAGTGATGGTGCAAAACCTCTATAGCCAGATTATAGGATATCTTCAAACCATGATCATCATCATCATGACCACCATCATCACCATTATCATCACCATCTCCATCACCATCATCAGCATCACCATCATGACACCATCATCATCATCACCATGACCATCATCATCATGACAACCATCACCATCTCCATAACCATCATCAGCATGACCATGACCATGATCATCATCATCATGACAACCATCACCATCACTATCTCCATAACCATCATCACCATTATTACACCATCATCATCACCATGACCATGACCATCATCATCATCCCCATCATCACCATGACCATCATGACCCTCACCACCACCATTATCACCCCCACCCCCACCACCACCACCATTACTATTATCACCACTGCCATCAATGTAATCATCATCATCCATTATTATTATCATCATAACTAAACAGCAACTTACAGATCCTTTAATTGTGAAAAAGAAAATGACAATTCTATCATTGCTGAGGACAGGATGACGAGCCACAACATTTAGAAACCTCTTCAAAGCTCTTCTTCTGGCCTCAATGAACTCTTTACTGGCTGTGAAATGATGAAAATACACAGCAGTATCAGATGCTTAGCCGACTGATAACCTCTATATACATTATCACAAGCAAGTTGTAGTTTCTCTCTCTAGGTGTCTCACATGAAATTCTTATTACCTGAATGGCAAATCTTCAATAAAAATGCACATTGGATAACTAGGAAGTTATGTGCAGTTTTTACCCCTCATTCAAGTCTAGTCTGAAGATTCAATTTTTCGATAGATACTTAACAAATAGACATCAGTTTTTTATGTGTATGTCCTCTCATTGACGATAAATTGCATCATCACATTGTCAAAGATCCACATACTACTTTGACAATGTGATGACAAAATTTATCGTCAATAATTTTTTTTAACAATAACAAAAGCGATAAAAACTTCTCATTTTTAGCAATCAAAACAACCAACTGAAAGAGCGAGTGCTCGTTGACGTCAGCTTTATCTGTCTGTCCTCTTATCGATGATAAAAAATAACCAATCAGCGAGCGAGAAATTTGTAAGATATTGTAAGACATACAATTCAGTCAAGTCAATAAACTTTTAAAAAATAATTTTATAATAGAGAAACCGCATCCTTACCTCCCATGAGCTTTTTTGGTGGTAACTTAGGAACAAGACGATATGGAAATCTGGATATCAAAACATCGTGGAAGGCAACAAAATCATTGTATCGTCGATGGACTGTCATGTTGTGTCTCTGATGTTTTAAAATATCAAACCATAAGATTCAACGAAGCAATAGAGTGAAACACTGAGAGATGTTAGTGATTAATCACCCCTTCAAATTGCTAAAAAATGGGAAATGAAAAGTGTTCTGCCATAGAACATAGCTTTCAGCAAAAAAATCAATTTGATACTTTGTTGATACCCATGGGGGGGGAGTGGGGTTGATACCCATGGGGGGTGGGGTTGATACCCATGGGG